CACACACACACACACACACACACACTCACACACTCTCTCTCTCACACACACACACATAAACACACACACACAGGTGAACGGAGCAGCAGAAGTGAGTCAGTGAATTACAGGCCTTTTCCTTCCACAGTCGTTTATTAACGCTGATAGTCTGACTGAATTTCGAGCTGATTCTTTTTGCTTGCGTGTTTTTCCAGCAGTTCTGTGAGGGAGAAATATAATCTTTATGTTTACCTCGTCTCATTTGGATAATGTGTCATATAAATGCTAAGCTCAGGGAGTTACGGCAGGATTTCGGCGTCTCTGCTGTATTAATGTTTGATCCATTTCTTACTGTGTTTATGAAGTTCTGTGCGATTTCAAACATGATGCAAATGAACAACAGCAGAATATTAGACTTGAAATTGTCTATTTATTCTCTCTCTCTCTCTCTCTCTCTCTCTCTCGTTATGTTTATTGTGGTTGGGACTCAGTCCAACAGCCATCTTGGCTCTATAGCGTTAAAGGCAGCTGGTTTAGTTAACGGTCCGCTGGTCAGGTTAAAGTGAAACATGCGCTGAGGGAATGCTCCTGTCACATGCTAATTGAAACACAATCAGAGCAGACGTGTGTTTAACCGGCTCTAGATGAGACACGACTCTAAACAGAGCTGAGTGTAACGTGTCTGCTATAAGATTATTGTTCTGAAGTAATACAGCGGCTTCAATAATCACATTACAGTTGCACTGAATACATAATAATAATAATAATAATAATAATAATAATAATTATTATTATTATTATTATTATTATTTTGTTATACAGAACAAAAGTAAAATTGCAATACTAATATGTATGTATGAATTGATGCTTTTTAAAACAATAAATCATTGAGCTTTCATTGTCTGAAAAACAATTTCAAATATGTGTTATAGTGTGAAACGAGCTGCTCTGAGACGCTAAAAACACCAGATCACGAGCTGCTCATGTGAAAATGAACACAGTGCTGTTTCACTCAGAGAGCTCAGATTACTTTCTGATTTGATAATTGCACTAATATTGCATTCTCTCTGATCTCATATCTCCTGTCTGCTCTGCACACAGTTTGATTTGCATTTTTTTATTATGATTATTATTATTATTATGATTATTATTATTATTATGATTATTATTATTATTATTATTAGTATGATGATTATTATTATTATTATTATTATTATTATTCCAAGTAGCGTATCTGTAGCTCATGTGTTTCCCTTTCAAGTTACTTTCAGTGCAGGAACGGCTTTTACGCTTTCATTCTAGGCTAGCTATATTAGAAGTATTTAAATAATCTCGTAAATGCATTAAAAAAAAAAATCCAAATCAGATCATTGTTATGTGAACTGGATTAAATTGCATATCAAATAAAACTTTCCAAACTTTGCAAAACTTTACAAAATCCATTGAACTGTAAATCATACTGATTTAATGTTAGATCAAAGATTAACATCATTAATTAGAAATACATTCATAATAAATGTAAAGATGATTGGATTACTGTTCAGGGCGATTAATAGGTTAATTAGATTAATAAGTGATTTTTAGAAAAGTTAATCGGTAATCAGTAACAGTATACGGGATAATTTCTAGATTGTTCTGCCTGTATGGGTGATTTATTTATGAAATATTATAAAGTAACTATTTAAGTTTGATAGCAAGTTTTCACGATAGAAATGTAAAATGTATTTTTCCTCCATAGCTTAATTTGAGTTATTTCAGTGAATGGTTGTTGATGAATGCTCGGTGTGTGTGTGTGTGTATGTGTGCGTGTGCATGTGCCTGTGTCTGTGCATGTGTCTGTGTCTGTGTCTGTGTCTGTGCATGTGTCTGTGCATGTGTCTGTGTCTGTGTCTGTGTCTGTGTCTGTGCGTGTGTCTGTGCGTGTG